ATGAAAACATTCCATTAACTGGAGTTGCCTTTGTTGAGACGTGCCCTCCCTTCCTCCCCAGTAAATCGAGATGGCCATGATCAAGGACAAGGAGATACCAGGACCCAAGTAATGTGATCAAACTTAAATTCTCTTTGGTGCCATTTCTGAGCCAGAGAACAAAGTTCCTATTTGGAGGATAAAGTTTTATTTGTGAGCAAGCATGGCTGTCCTGCTTCTTTCTAAGGCCCCCGTCTGAATGATCTGCACCCTAACAAAGGAAATGAAGCCTACAATGAAAGTATGGCAGACGATCGTTTTCCTGGAATGCCCCCAACCTGCCTATTGATTGTTGGCAATGCTTCCAGAGTTCAGATATCTTAATTCCAAAAGAGCACAATGAGCGAGCCACAGTATTTTTATCTGCCAAAACATAAACAGCTGGGGGTTTGACGTTCACTCATTACCAGGAGGCACTGTGGTCGCCTGATGTGACCCATACCTGTCTCTCTACAGTGTGGAGTGAGACAATCAGCCAGTCCCTTACCACAGGAACATTACGCCATCACAATGTGTCTCACACCATAGCAAATCAGCCTTCGCTCTTTAGCAGCGATTTAGGATGATGGAGTCTTTTTTTTTTTTTTTCTTAAAGATTTTATTTATTTATTCATGAGAGAGAGAGGCAGAGGGAGAAGCAGGCTCCCAAGGAGCAGGGAGCCCGATGCGGGACTCGATCCCAGGACCCTGAGATCATGACCTGAGCCGAAGGCAGACGCTTAACCATCTGAGCCACCCAGGCGCCCTAGGATGATGGAGTCTTAACATCCAACAGGCTTTTGTGTTTAAAGACAGAAACCGCATTACCCTCTGTTTACAGCCAATGTATTCATCTTCCGTATTTCTTTAGCAGTCCACGTTTTTAAACATTACACATTCAACAGGCCTCTAAATATTTGTACGATTCTTAAAAAATAATGTGTATTTAACGAAGGAAAGTTTCTCAACATTTAAACAGAGATTTTTAAGCGTAACCACTTTTAGCCATTTATTTGAACTGATTTCTAAAAAAGTCAGATCTTAAATGCTTAAAACCCTGCAAAAATAAATTAATTAATAAACAAAACACATGTAAAGGCCAGTGTGTTTGCAAAAAAAAAAAAAAAAAGACAGGTGTAAATGAGTGAATACCATGGATTTAAGGTTTCTGGGTTTTTGTGTGACTTGTGTGTGTGTTGCTTACACATGGTTATATCATCCAAGAGTTGCCTTCCTAAGGTTTTAGTAAATTTTGTGAGAAACTGTGACAGAAAAGCAGAGGCCACCACCTCTGGTTGTTTCTTAGTTGGGATGCAGGATTAGGTTGATCAGCCCACAGTGATTCTGAGCTTCTTGTCCTCTGACTCAGTTCATTCCCATAACCGAGTTCCTTTTATTATGTCAGAGGATCTTTAAGTCCCTCTCTTCAGGTTTTCATTTTTGAAACTTGGTATCTTTCACAGAAATGATAAATTTTGAGCTGTGTGTATCTGCCATTTGCTGACCCATTGTTCTGCCATTTTGATTTATTGAGCTTGTCTGTTACCATTATTAAAAACTTACGTACCCCCTATTATTATTTTATTCTAATTAGCTGGGCCATTTAGAGGTTTCCTCTCCTAGGAGATGAGATTGAGCCTGTATAATTAGCTCTCTTCTTTCAGACAGCTGGCTAATTCATCACCTTGGAATGCAGCATTAGACTCCCTGCTCACCTGTTTATTTTGTATGACCATGGGTACCTAAATGGTTTTTCCTAGACTTAGAATAATATTGCTCCATCTGGGACTCAGTTTTATCTTTTCTGTTTACACAGGTGGAAAGTAGACCCCATGCCAAATATTCCATATCATCATGATTACAGCGGAACAGACTTCCCCTGACTGTAGTCCCTGGCACATCACTTTTTGCCTTAAGACTTCTCTTTAAATTACTTTAATCTACTTGTTTTAACCTGGCATCATTTTAAACTGTGAGAGCCATAAAACCACACATTTGTTGTATCAGTTACATTGCAGTTGACTTACTGTAAGTACACATTAAAATGACGGTGTAAGGAATGAGAAGGAGAGAAAATGGCGACCACGGATTACAGTACCTACAGCCAAGCGGCAGCCCAGCAGGGCTACAGTGCATACCCTGCCCCACCCACTCAAGGATACGCACAGACCACCCAGGCATCTGGGCAGCAAAGTTATGGCACCTATGGACAGCCCAGCAGCTATGGACAGCAGAGTAGCTATGGTCAACAAAGCAGCTCTGGGCAGCAGCCTCCCACTAGTTGTCCGCCCCCAAACTGGATCCTACAGCCAGGCTCCAAGTCAGTATAGCCAACAGAGCAGCAGCTACGGGCAGCAGAGTTCATTCCGACAGGACCACCCCAGCAGCATGGGTGTCTATGGGCTGGAGTTTGGAGGATTTTCCAGACCAGGAGAGAACGGGAGCATGAGTGGCCCTGATAACCGGGGCAGGGGAAGAGGGGGATTTGATCGTGGAGGCATGAGCGGAGGTGGGCGGGGAGGAGGACGCGGTGGAATGGGCAGCGCTGGAGAGCGAGGTGCCTTCAGTAAGCCTGGTGGACCCGTGGACGAAGGACCGGATCTTGATCTAGGCCCACCTGTAGATCCAGATGAAGACTCTGACAACAGTGCAATTTATGTGCAAGGCTTAAATGACAATGTGACTCTAGATGACCTGGCAGACTTCTTTAAGCAGTGTGGAGTTGTTAAGATGAACAAGAGAACCGGACAACCCATGATCCATATCTACTTGGACAAGGAAACAGGAAAGCCCAAAGGTGATGCTACAGTGTCCTATGAAGACCCACCAACTGCCAAGGCTGCCATGGAGTGGTTTGATGGGAAAGATTTTCAAGGGAGCAAACTTAAGGTTTCTCTTGCTCGGAAGAAGCCTCCAATGAACAGCATGCGGGGTGGTATGCCTCCCCGTGAGGGCAGAGGGATGCTGCCACCACTTTGTGGAGGTCCCGGGGGCCCAGGAGGTTCTGGGGACCCCATGGGTCGCATGAGAGGCCATAGAGGAGACAGAGGTGGCTTCCCCCAAGAGAGCCCCGGAGGAGGAAACATCCAGCACTGAGCTGGAGACTGGCAGTGCCCCAGTCCGAGGTGTGGAAACCAGAACTTCGCCTAGAGAACAGAATGCAACCAGTGTAAGGCCCCAAAGCCTGAAGGCTTTCTTCCACCACCCTTTCCACCCCCAGGCGGTGACCATGGCAGAGGCGGCCTCATGGACTGCGGTGTTCCTGGTGGGATGTTCAGAGGTGGCCATGGTGGAGACAGAGGGGGCTTCTGTGGTAGCTGGGGCGTGGACCAAGGTGGCTCTGGTGGAGGAAGATGGGGTGGCCCTGATGGGCCCCCTGGACCTTTGATGGAACAGATGGGAGGAAGAAGAGGCAGGTGCAGAAGACCTGGAAGAATGGATAAAGGCGAGCACTGTCAGGAACGCAGAGACCAGCCCTACTAGATGCAGAGACCCCACAGAGCTGCACTGACTACCAGATTTATTTTTTAAACCAGAAAATGTCTTAAATTTATAATTCTGTATTTATAATGTTGGCTACAACATCATGATTATTCCTTGTCTGTACTTTAGTATTTTTCACCATTTGTGAAGAAACATTAAAATAAGTTAAATGGTAAAAAATAATAATAGTGTAAATATTGAAGTGATAGGCTTGTCCTGGTTCCTGTACCTGCAGAACCCCTTTGCATACTGCCAAGATGTGTCGTTGATTGTGTTCAAAGGATTTAAAAAAAAAAAAAAATCTCACATTTTTTAAAGCACCAATGTAAGTGGGGAACCTTAAGTGGTTTATGAAACCACGTACTTCAAGAAAAATAGAGTATAAAAAAATATGATCAAAATGTATGACCTCAACAAGAGCTGTTTTCCAGCTCTGGTGGTACTTAATATGGTCCACAAGCCACGCAGTGCTTCTGCCCACCCTCAGTTCTCGCCCGAGCTCGGGGCACCAGCCTGGTTGGGCAGCTTCTTCCAAGGTGGGACTGGGTGATGAGAAAAGACCCCATCTGAGGACGAGGGAAGAGATGCAGGAAAGATCTGGGGGCAGAGCATCCCAGGAGAGGAAGGAGGAGCCCCCAGCGCAAAGCCTTAGGTGGGGAGGAACTGCGTGAGGCAAGAGTGAGCATGACTGGACTAGAGGGAAAGGGGCATGGCAGGAAGTGTCATCAGACTGCTAAGGGGCAGACCCGGGCTATCGGGCTATCGAGGAGTTCTGAACAGGAAAGTGATTTGAGTCGATCCTACTGGCTACCATGTAAGGAATGATTATGTCAGATGAAGAGTGAAAACCAAGACCTCAGATGGGTCTCTCTGGGAGTCCCCCATGTGAGAACTCATGGAAGCTTTTGCCAGGGAGGTGGCCATGGACTTGGTAAGAAGAGGTGGGGTTTGATTCAGCACAATGTATGTATGTATATATATATATATATATATATGCACTAGAATTCCAGTTTTTTCTTGAAACCTGTTAAGATTAAGTATATTTTCTTAACACACATATAGAGTTATAAATATTTATCTCAGACTTATGGATTTATATGCTTAGATATACTGATATAACATTATTATAATGCAATTTATAATATATAATTATATTTTTTTTCCTTTGAGAAACAAACCCCAAACTTTTTTGGGGGGGGTGGAAATAATTTGTCATTGCTTATAAAATTGTTTGGTATTTCCAGTAAACTATGAAAAGGCACAATATAGGCTTTCCTGTTCCAGTAGTTCTCTGTTTAATTGGCAGAATATGAGCATATATTTTGAAGCCAGAGTTTCCACACTTTGTGGGTGACTTACAGGTTCCAGGTTTCAGCCTGAGCAACTGGGTGACTCCCGACGCTGGTTGCTGTGATGGGCAAAAGTGTGTCAAGAAGGGACTCTGGGGGCAGGAGCCCTGGAAGTGCAGCGTGTAACCCTCTGCTTCTGTCTCCCTGCAGTGATCCCGAAGGTCACCAAGCACCTGCTCTCGAACCCTGTGTTCACCTGCATCATCCTGGCCGCCTGCATGGAGATTGCAGTGGTGGCTGGCTTCGCTGCCTTCTTGGGGAAGTACCTGGAGCAGCAGTTTAACCTTACCACCTCTTCTGCCAACCAGCTGCTCGGTGAGTCTGCTCCTCCGTCCCCCCGGGAGGACAGAGGGCTGCTCTCATGCGGGTAACCCTCTAAGACCGAGGCCCACCGGAGAAAGAGCCCAGACTCTGCTGCTCCTACAGCAGTAGTATTCTTGGGGTCTGTGTGCAGAAGGAATTTCAGAGTCTATTCTTGCAGCAAAATTTGCCAAAGGGATGTGATAAGAAAGAGCTAAAATATAAAATGTACGTAAGAAGCATTGTGACAGGCCAGGAGATCAATAGATTGGTGTGAACTGCAGAATTTGGGGGAAGATAGGATGAAGGAAGAGGGAAATCGAGACATACCCAGAAAGGTTAGCAGGCTTTGGTCAGGCACATAAAAAATTAAGAATATCCTTGGCAGCATGAAACACACAGTCAGCAAATATAGAACTTGGAAGCCATACACTCCCCTCCTGACCCCTGCCCACAGCAGACATAATTAATGGATCACGGCACTCCTCCCCAAGCTCAAGCATGGCTTTACCATCCTTCTCAGTAGGAGACTACAGGCATCTGCTTCCACTGTTTGGAGTTGGCATGGTAAGGAAAACCAATTTGACCTCAAGGGAAGCAGCATTACTTACGTGGAGTTAGGAACGTGGCCTCATGACTGATAAGGGAGATGGAAGAGTCAAGAAGGCTGCCCATGTTTCTGGCTCAGACAGCTGGTGGCACCATTTTTGAAACCTGGAAACAGCAGAGGACAATCAGATCCGTGGGGGAGATTATGAGATCACATTTGAAGTTGCTGAGTGTGAGACACCCAGGGTGTGTCTCTGCAGCGTCCAGTACTCGGTGGGGGCTCAGCAAGGAGACCCCACTGGGGAATAGAGGTTCTGTTGCATTGGTGTATGTCCGGGTGGAAGTGGAGGACACGGGAGTGGAAATTACGTAGCAAGAAAGTGAATTGGAAGAGAAGAGTCCCAACCACGAGGAAACACAGGAGTCTGAGGGGAAGTCCGGAAAGAAATCCACAGGTCATGGGAGTCAAGGAAGAGATGATTCCAAGGAGGAAGCAGGCAGCTGCGTGAGTGCAAACACAATGAAAGCTGGGTGTCTCCATTAGCTGCAAGCACTGGGACGTCCTGTGTCAGAGCTGTGTCCCAGACGTGGCCATGGGGAGCCCGTGCTCCGTGTGGAGAGCTGCCTGCAAGAGGGAAGGAGTAGTCTGCGGCTGCAGGACACTTTCCCGAAGCTCAGTCGTGGCGCAGAGGAGAGGGGCTCCAGCAGGTGGCCGTGTGTCCTTGGAGGGGGAGCAGGGGAGATGGGGCATTGCTAGGAAACATGAGCAGTTTGCTAAGTGGAGGGAAAAGAGTCAGCAGAAGGGGATTTGCAGGAAAGAGAGGGATGCGGATGGACAGCCCTCGACAGAAGAAGAGCTCATAGGTCCTGCCAGTGCAGAGAAGGAGAGAGGCATGAGTCTGGCCACTGAGACTACAGCTAGTATGGCCCTGCATTTGAGAGAGAGCTCCAGCCCCGTGAATTACCTTCTCTGGTAAATAGGGGGTCAGATTGTCTGCTGAGAGGAAAGGTCTCCTTCAACACTGCCTGTTTCTTCACCTAACGGCCAATTAGCAAATGCAAAGGTGCTAACCCATCATGAGTCATCAGGAAAACACACATTAAAATCACACTGAGATACCACTGCGCATCCACTGGACTGATAGTACCAAGTGTTGGTGAGGATGTGGAGCACCTGGAACTCTCATGAGCAGCTGTTGGGAGTGCCCAGTGGTGTGAGCACTTTGGACAGTTCCTGGGCAGCACCTATGAAAGCACATTTTTATGCTGGGATATGTCCGTTCCGCTTCTGGGCAGATACCCGACAGAAATGAATGTTTAAGTCCACTCCTTACGATCTGCATATGTAACTGCGTTCAGAGCAGCCTGGTGCATAATGACCCCGACTGGATACAGCCCAGACGTCTGTCAACGGGAGAATGGGTAAATAAATTAGAGAATGTTCATACAGTGCTGCCACACAACATGAGAAAGCAAGCATTTTCATACCTGCCTCAATGCGGATGAATCTGACAGAGTTGAAAGACGTCAGGGACAAAAGAGGACATATTTGTAGGAGTTCAAAGAGGGAAAAGTTAATTAAAGTGATAGAGGCCATGATGATGGGAATTATCATTCTGGGAGGGGGAGGTGGGCAGCCAGTGGGGAGCCTTCCCGGGCTGCTGGAAATGTTCTAAGCTTGATCTGAGCGGTGGTTGGTTATAGGGGTGTTTACAGATGCAAGGATTCATCGGCTGTTTCCTTAAGCTTTGTACACTTCCCAGGACATAATGTATCGCAACTAAAAAAAAAAAAAAAAAAATTAAAAGCCTACTACGATGACGCAGCTGGATCATAAGGTCTCCTTGGGAACTGCTAGGCTAGCACAAGCCTTTTTTTTTTTTTTTTTTTTTTTTGCTAATAAAGCTTTACCATCCTTTTTTTTTTTGGTCAAGTGTCACTTCCAAGAAATATTAGCAAAATACAGGCAGCCCTCTAGTACACGTCTGGCAGGGAGAGGGTAAAGTGGGTCTCTTTATAATTAAAGTCGTAACTTCTTTTTTTTTTTTTTTAAGATTTTATTTATTTATTCATGAGAGACAGAGAGAGAGAGGCAGAGGTAGAAGCAGGCTTCCCGCGGAGCCGGGAGCCCGATGCGGGACTCGATCCCAGGACCCTGGGATCATGACCTGAGCCGAAGGCAGACGCTTAACCATCTGAGCCACCCAGGCGCCCCTAAAGTCGTAACTTCTTGTTTATACCTGCAGTGTCTCTGGTTTTGCCCTCCAGCAGCCCGGGTTCCTCCGTTTCCTCCTCATTTCTGTGCTGCTCTTCTTACGTTCTCATTACATTTGCACAGTTGCCTCGACGTCGGGGCTGTGTTCTATTTCAGAACAGTTTCTATCGACAAACAAATCAATACTCTTCAGGGCAGAAGGTCAAAAAAACAATCTCACCTTCTCGCACCTGTTTCTTTCCCAGTGACTCTGTCTGCCAGGGTGCTTAGCAGGGGAGGACCTTCTCCTGCCATGCAGAGAGGCCACCTGCTGGCCCATCTGTCAGTCCGTCTGTCCGGCAGTCCACACAGGTAGCGTGCATGCACGGCCTCTCCCTGTGTCCTGCTCGGGGCCTCACTCTAATCAGCATGGACCCTGGAGGGCTGGCTGCAACAGGGCTGGCACTGGGCATTCAGGACACAGAGACGGACCCCAGGAGCACCAGGCAAGGCTCGCATCCGAAAGTGCTCAGCTCCTGCAGACCCAGGGCATGGGACCCGTGCAGTCTCCCCGGGGCATCAGCGCAGGGCCTCTGAACCACCCCGGAAGTCAACAAATGGGGCGGGGTCCGGAGAAGAGCAGCACAGATGATGAAGGCGCTGCTGGCGTGGACTTATGCATGGATCTGTGCGTAAAGATACAAAGGGCTCAATCTGCATAGTTTAACGTAATGAGGATGGCGTTTCGGGGTAAGTTCTGATAACTGAATGCCAAGGCTGCACATGCAGCAGGGAGGAAGAGAGCAGCCTGATGACGGGTTGGGAGAAAAGGTGCCGAAAGCCTGTTATTGCCATAGTTACCGTCCTCACTAGGTGATGCTCCCCCACGGTCTCTGCTAGGAAATGAAACAAAGCACAGGCCTGCTCTCTGGGCATGGGCATGTCCGCACCAATGTTCATTGCACACAGATCCAGCCTGCTGGCCATTTCATCCATCCCGAAAAGAAGCCTTAAGTGCCCACTCTGTGCGAGGCACAGGGAACTGTGCTGGACTGAAGAGGATGGAAAAGGTTCCTGTGCTCGGGGAAGCTGCATTTGAGGAGGGGGAGAGTGAACAAGAAACAAGACCAAAAATGAGGAAGGCAGCTTCAGATAATGGGGAGAACCATGAAGATAATAAAATGGGGTGAGGAATGATGGGGAGCCCCTGGATGGAGTATAGGACTGCTCTAGATGTCATGGTCTGGGAAGGGCCCAGCCAAGGAGAAATGCTGTACAAGAATGTCCCAGGAGAGGGACCAGCAGGTGCAAAGCCTGGGGTTCTGAATGGGTTTGGCCTGTCCCAGGGAGAGAAAGGAGGAGCCGTGGGCCAGGGGTGAGCAGAGAGGGGCACATGGGGGCTAGACCATGAAGGTCATTTCTATACCAAAAAGCAGTTAAAATCAAGCATAGGTATTCCAAGAGCATCAGATAATACAGAGATATGTTTTATTTAAATGTGACTTGTGCTATTTTCTTGCAGAGCTCAGCCTTCCTGATTATGTTTTTCTTCCCCTAATATTAAAATTAATTTGCATTCCCTTAGCACATACCAGCTGGTTGATGTAGTCGATTGACCTAAAGGTCTGTTGATTGGCAAGGAGGAGACCGCCTAGACTGGGAAATTGGCCATGCATGGTCTACACGGTGGATAAATGATGCACTGTAATTTAAAGCTGAGTTTTAGATGAAGCAAATCAGGACAGAGCAAAGCCAAACAGGAGATTGGAACCCTAGGATTGAGTCTGGGGTTCTGAGAATCAGAAATAACAGGTTTATGGTCCCTGCTGCCTTGCAGATAGCTCTTTTTATAAGAAGGGGAGAATATTTATGCCAATTACTCACCAAGAGCTACAAAACATATTGATTGGATGGCTGCTCCTTCCCAAGAGGTCTGGGAGCAAGTTCAAATGCCGTCTCCACAGGCTGGTGAGTGCTGGGACCTTTGTGTAAACAGCCACCAGACCCTTCCATGAAGCCCTCCTCAGCTAATGAGGAAAGGGGAGAAAATCCCCAAATGATCTCAAGTCCCCTTTCACATCACTTCAAAAATGCACAGAGAGCACGAGCATGTTCCCAGTCTGTCTTTGTCTCATGGTGGTTCCCACGCCAGCCGTGTCTTTCCCATGAGGATACCTTACTTAGCAAGATTGGTGTATGTACTTGGACTCCCCATAACTGTTTCCACGTCTGTCTCCCCCAGTTTTCTGTGAGTTCCCGGAGGGCAGAAATAAGGCCCCTCATGGAGACTCGGAGGCAGCTTGGAGGAGGCGGCACTGCAGGGGGGGGTCACTGGGAATGTGGCCCACGCAGGGCTCGGCCCCCAGCCTGGCACCCATCTGTCTGCACCGATGGGCCCTACTTCCCCCACTAATGGTTCCCGCCCCTCTGTTTTTCTCCCAGGGATGACTGCAATCCCATGTGCCTGCCTGGGGATCTTCTTGGGCGGTCTCCTGGTGAAAAAGCTCAGTCTTTCTGCCCTCGGGGCCATTCGGATGGCCATGCTTGTCAACCTGGTGTCCACAGCTTGCTATGTCTCCTTCCTCTTCCTCGGCTGTGACACAGGCCCCGTGGCTGGGGTTACTGTTCCCTATGGAAACACGTAAGTCCCAGAAATGTCCGCTCCCACCCCTGCCAGCCCAGGGCTGCCTGGATTCATTCTGCATGGTCGGATCAGGGAGCTCTCTTTGTCCTAAGTGGTGACCACGAGTGGAGGGTTCGATGATGCCTCTGTATCTTCCTCCCAGGGTTGAAGAGTCAAATGGACCTTTTGGGTGGAGGGCTCAAACCATTCCACTCATTTTGGCATTTGACTTTAGGAACGATTGAAGATAGATAATACAGATGAATTTTATTTTAAAATTCAGCTTTTTTTTTTTTTTTTTTTTTGGAGAGGGAGAGAAAGAGAGAAAAGTGGGGGAAGGAGCAGAGGGAGAGAAAATCTGAAGCAGGCTCCAGGCCCAGCACGGAGCCCGTTGCAGGGCTCGATCTCATGACCCTGAGATCATGACCTGAGCTGAAATCAAGAGTGGGACAACCAACTGAGCCACCCAGGTGCCCCTTAAAATTCAGCTTTAAATGAAAGACAGAATAGATTCCAATCATTCCGGAAATTATCAGAAGGTATCATCAGGCTCCCATAGTAATTATAGGGTCTCACCCCTAGTAGGTATTGATAAGTACGGGAAGGAGAAGGAGGTGGGGAATAAAAGGAGAAAAGAGGGAGAAGGGAAAGAAGTTGGTTCTTATGGGACACCTGTCTTCTAGTTATTATCCCAAGACTTTGGCCTAGAGTCCAATCAGAATTGCCCCAGAGGGAATTATGGAGAGCACTTACATGTCCAGCATCAACAGCTGTCCCCTTTTCTGTGTGAGAATCTGAAACTGCTTGGGGATCAGTCTGGAGCATCCAGGCTGCAGCAGAGTCAACCTGCAGGATACCAGTTCCTCCTCATGCCAGTCTCCTCCTCCAGGCAGGCCATCAGGCTTTCTCCGGTAGTCCTGTATCCCAAAGATGCAGGAGAACCGGGCTTACCTGCCACCCGACAAGGTCATGCAGGCTGAATGGGAGAACACAGGTGGGGGCAGTTGTCCGTATATTCATGCACAGTCCAGGCCCTTTACCACCACCAGGGTCTCTTCTGCCCCCCACCCCAGCCCAGCCCCCATTCCTCCTCCTCCCAAACGTGGCGCCTTCTGGTGTGTGCATGCCATAAGTAACAGCATTTGGAGAGAAAGACCGCCAGCCTTCTGTGCCAACTCTCAAGTAGTAAACTTGTAGTAGTTCAAAGCACAGGGTCTTACGATAATGAAGTTCTTCTTCATTAAAAAAGAAAAAAAAAAAAAAAAGGCTCAGAGCCTACAATCCAACTGCTAACTCTGCCCAAATTGGTGGAGCTCCAATCCCCACCCTCCCCACCCCCGCTCTCCCATGTACGACTTAGATAGATTTGGGCAGGCGACTCAGCCTGGCCCTGCCTCAGTTTCCTTCTCTGTCAACCCCATGGGGTCACACTGAGAATAAGTACAATAATGTCCGCAGTACCGTGAACGGTGCCTGGCATGTAAATTGTCAGATATCACCGTCATCGTCATTATGAACCCTAGGAGGCTCAGCTGAAAATAATGGTGCTGGAAGGAGACGATTTCTCTCTTACAGAGCTAAAAACACCCACTCCATCCGTTTCCCCTTTGCAGTTTGCGTGCTTCAGGTAGTTGTGCCTTTAATGGTACAAAAGGAAATTTAAAATAACTTGTGTTATTTTTCTCAGGAAGTCGAATCAATCAAACAGACGATAGTTATTGAATCCAGTCTAGTGGTGGTGGTGGTTAAGCATCACAAGGCTTGCTGCGTGCTGGGAGGAGGGAGGAAGCAGAGACGAGGACTGACCCGAGGAGGGGAGAAGTCAGTGTCCGGCTGTGCCCGGTGGTGGTGTGGGGTCAGGGAAGGGGGAGTGGGCTGAGGCTGCAGCAATCACGAGCAGCGACACGGAGGAGGTGGCCCCGAGCTGAGCCTGGGCTGCCCCCAGCCTGGAGGGCACATTGGCGCAAAGGATAAAGGAGAGGCTTCTTCCACTTCTGGCACCGTTATGTACTGCACTCAGCGGTGGCGCTGGGCTGGTCCTTGTGGGACAGGGAGGGGTGAGGTCGGAGGAGGAGAAGGAAGGGGCGCCAGGCACCTCATCACAGCAGAGCCAGAAGGCTGTCACTGGGGAGATCCAACAGAAGTTGCCCTTCCTCTGATGGGTTCCATGTTTCTTCTCTTTTCCAGCTCAGCGCCGGGCTCGGCCCTGGACCCCTACTCGCCCTGCAATAAAAACTGTGAATGCCAAACCGATTCCTTCACTCCAGTGTGTGGGGCAGATGGCATTACGTACCTGTCTGCCTGCTTTGCTGGCTGCAGCAGCACGGTATTGGTGATTTTCTGACGGGATGGGATGGGCAGGGGACTCAGGCAGACAAAGCAGCTTAAAACCTGTGGCCAGGGGCTGCAGCGGGCAACCACACGCGTTCCATACTTTGTGCGCGTGCGCCGTGACTTTTTCTCAGCCTCCACCGCGCTCTGGTGGAGAAGCCTCCGTCAGGATGGGCGGACTGCCAGATCATTCAGGCCTTCCTGCTAAATCGAATAGGTTTCCAAAAAGTGTCGTGGAGCCACTGAAAGCAAAAATTTCAAAGGAAGCTGTACATATGGAGCCAGAGAACAAAAGATTATGGTTCAAGGTGCTTACCAAGGGTATCCGTGAAACAGCCTGACTCTACAGGTAATGAGCTCCCCATGAACAGAAGTATGTAAAGAAGGGCTAGAAAACCATTTAGAAGACTTCTTCCAAGCCTGAGACTGACTCTTAAATTTAACCTCTTCCTTAGTTCCCTTCGCCTTTTTATTCTCTACTAGATACCTCCCACCTTTTTCCATCCCCCACTAAGCTTTGTTTTGTTTTGCTTCTTGGTTTTTTGGGTTTGGGGGTTTTGTTTGTTTGTTTTTCCTTCTCCGCTTGAATTGTCCAATTGGCTATCAGCCTACAGTTTTCTCTGTGCTCTGCTCTGCGTGAAAACGTGATGCTAAGGGACTAGTCATTAAGTCATGCTGATCCCGCCTTCCAGGTGTGTCTCACACCTGCCTGTCCTCTTCATCCACATCCCCACCGTCCTGGTGTGGGCCCTCCTCATCTCTTGCTTGGACCCTTGTGGTATAGCTGCCTAACTGGCCTCACAGCTCAGGGTGGCCCCCTTCTGGTCCATCTTCTCTACTGCAGCCAAAATGACTTCTGTAACACCGCAAAGGACCCCTTCTCGTGCTACCCTGTCACCTACAAGATAAGATCTAGGCACTGCACTGGCTTTGTTATGTGTCTTCAGCACACGTCCTCCATCCTCAGCCACTCCCTTCAGCTCTACTTCCTTTTAGTTTGTGGTATTCAGCTTCCCCTACACAACAGATGTCTTTTTATCCTTCTCTCTCCATTTGGACAACTCCTACACACCTGTCAATACCCTCCTCGAATTCACCCTTCTCTGTGAAGCCATCCCTTTCCTTCTCTATCTTTGGTGCTCTTGCCTCTGCAGTTCCTGGCACTGCAGGAACTATCTCCGCTGGCGGCGGCTCTCTCATTTCACTCCAGTGATCTGCTAAAAGTATTTGTCATCTGCTCTGATCTGTGAGTTTCCTGAGTGAGGGCTGGCATCCAGAACTGCTCCAGAAATGTCCAGGAACGTCTAGATGAAGAGAAAGATGAGAAAAAGAGGGCTGAGTGGCTGCTTTAAAGGAATTTAGAGTTGTAATTACTTGTTTTTCCTTTCCATATTCTGTATCTTTTAGGAGCGGCAATTTCTCCGAAAGAAAAAAAATCGATCACTTATTTTCATCTCCAAAGATTTCATTTTTCTTTGCTTTTAACATTTAGATTCCTGGCCAGTTATTAACATTTTTCCACAGAGAAAATAAATCACCATGTGGGGGGAGCAGAGGGGAAGAAAAACTGATTTTTTTTTTAAATTGGATGATAAAGCAATTTCTTTATGTGAGTGGAAATGAATTTAAAAAAAGGGATGAAGCCTTGCGATTGGTTAAAATAAAAATACAAGCTATTCATTTTCCTGACAACAATTTTATTAACATTCTAATACCCAAAAAAGTTATATAAATCAGTTTGGGTTACTGTCCTGTTTCAAGAATTAAATGGACTCTGTATAGGCTGGTGTCCTGAAACCAAACAAGTCTCTATTCCAGAGCATTCTCTGACCAAAAAAAAAAAAAAAAATTGGTCTTAAAAATTGCATTTCCCTTGATCTTGCATGTGCAAGAGTCTTATTGAATAAGAGCCTAACCAGGCTCCTGACTGCTTCCAGCTGCTGAAACAGCAAGCTATGGAATGCAATTATTGGACAGTGAGCTTCTCTGCTTCCCTCTGGACATATCCTTTCTTCACCAGATACCTGCCTTTTCGTCACATTACTGGAGGCCTCGTATTGTCCGCAAAGCAGAGAGGTTCTCCTCCTGCGATTACAAGTCAGAGACTGAGACAGCCGCCGGCCCCAGGGTTGAGTGAGAGTCACGTTTCTCCTTCATGGAGGCAGATGTCGGGATGAATGAGGGATTTGGGGACACAGAGCCATGTGTATCCTGGAAAGGGGCCCTTGTGACAATCTAGCCTTCAAAACACCCGTAACTGTAGAGCTCACTCCAGCAGCTTTACCAAGAGCCCGCGTGGGCCAGGCAACAGGCCTTCCGCCTGTCACTCACGGCCCATGACAGCTTGGCCTAAAGTCAAAGAAATCTCAGGCCACCGGCCAAAAATGAGCAAAAAGCAATTTCAGTCTTTTCAATCTCTGCTGCAGTATTTTGAGAAAATGCCAAATGGTGGGTTATATTCCTGGTGCATTCACTCCCTCCTTCGTTCCTACTTTCCTTCCTGTCTTCGAGTTCCCAGAAAAGCTTTTCCACAACTGAAAGCTTCCTCCACCCTCTTCCCTCTTTCCCTTCTCGTATTATTCCTTCCTGCCCCCCTGCCCAGCCCTGTGCGTCTTACCTCACTGATCCTCACAGCAGCCTGAGGATGGAGGTGTGATTTTGTGATTTTTACTCCCTGATTACAGACTAGTCCCTTGCCCCTGGTCATGCAGAACGTGGTGGCACTGGTGTTGACGTTGTAGGTCTGTCCGTCTATCCGACACCGACCCCAGTGTCTGACTCGGTGACTTACCTCTTTGGGATTCTCACCTTTTTCCTCCTTGAAAAATACCTCTTCGTTCATACTCCATAGTCAGGACCCTCCGCCCACACAGGCTGGCCCTGCTGCCTCTCCAGCCTCAGCCTCCCCCCTCCTCCCACCTGCTGAAGAATGACTTGCTGTGTTGAACTTCCTGGGGTTTCCCCAACACACCCAGCTCTCCCTTACCTCTGGGCTCCTTTTGGCAAGTACATTCCTCCATTAAGCCCTTGAGATGCATAATCATTCTTTACCTGCAGCTGAGAAGCCTCCTCCCTGTTCAGCCCTCTTCCAGGGGTGCATCAGCACCCTGTCCTGCAGAGTCCTCCAGCACCTGCTCCATCCGACAAGGTCTGACCCTCCCACCCCCAGTCGAACAGCTTGTTGACTCCTGGGTCTGCCTCCCTAGGCTCCTGCGTCCAGGGACGGGATTCTCTTGTGGACCCTTGCATTTCTAGTGCCAACCATGGCTCTGGATAAAGGCCCCAGGCTTCCTGAACACCTGGCTGGAGGCCACGTGCTGACCCCAGGGAGCCACGGGTGAGAATACTACTCCCTTGAATAGCGATTGGCAGGCGGGTAGGTTGGCTGGTGCAGATTTCAGTACTAAAGCTCCAGTCCCTGTTCATCCCCCACCCGCACACAGCTTCCATCAGAACCTGTGAAGATTGCCCACAACTCAACTAAACGTGGATAAGTCACCAATCGAATAATTCTGGTTACAGGGGAATCTGGTTAGCATTAGTAGTTTCCTATTAGACTTGCCTTGCTGCCCTAGTTTGGGTTTTGTTTTCTTATTTTCTTACTTCCTATCTCCTTGAGTGAGAGCAGTGGAAGTTTCCAGGACTATGTTTAATATACAATTTCTAATTCTTCTCATTGCGTATGACCAGGAAGGATGACAAAAAAGATTGCGAGTTAATTTCATAAGCTTCCTTTGGCATGAATATATTGTCCAGATTGTTTCTGTACCTTTCACTCTCAGAAGTAATTATTCCAATGGAAAGCATGTTGGTATGAGGCTGACTGATTCCTGCAAGTTGTAGCCTTTTGATGTACGGAATAATTGAGTAGAAACAAACAAACAAAAAAAGACAGACTTATATCAGCCACCAGTAGAACGCTGAAAGTCAATCCAAGCCCAGCACCGCAGTTTGTAGGAGACTAATGATAGATCACTAATCTGTCTCCCCACGCCGGCAACAGATACGTGTCTGGCACCTGTTTGAGCGGAGCCCTGAGTTGGTTCTGTGGAGGGCTGGGGGGGATCCATGATGGACGCATGCAGGAAGCTTACTGTGGACTCTCATGGATCTCAGTCCTGTCTGCATATTAGGATTGCTCGAGAACTTTTAAAATCTGAGTCCTGAGCCTCGTCCTTAGAAACTCCCGTTTCTTTGTTGTGGGGTAGGATCCAGGCATCAGTAACTTTTTAAAGCCCTCCCCCCGCCAAGTGTTTTTGTACGTAACAGAGTTGAGAACCACTGTTCCCCTCCAGAGTGTCTCCACCTCGGAACTGGTGACATACGGGGCTGCGTTGTTCTTTGTTGTGGGGACCATGGGGCTCTGCCCATCAGATGCCAATAGCAAGCCCTGCTCATTTGTGAAACCACCCATAGATACTTCCATAGGTTCTGCTTGGGGGCCAAATCCCCCACAGTCGAGAACCACTGCTCCAGGAGAAGGGATGGGTTCCTAAAATTGTATCTTTCTAGAAGCAGCGTCTGAGCGGACACTGAGCATCCAGCCTTCAGTGTCCTTTTCCTTCCCACCTTTATGTGTTCAAGCACTGGAGAAAGTAAGCTGGTGACTGGAGGTGCCATATCAGCATATTACAGAAGAAGCAAACTGATGGCTTCTACGCCCTCTCTGCCCTGTACATGGGCTTATTGGGGTCTGAACCAAGGTTTAAACAGTCTGTGCATTTCATACACAAATCTGGATTTCTGGCCTCTCTGTAAAAGCTGGATGAGAACTGACCTGCCCCTTCACCCCCACAGGGCAGCAATTGCCTGGAGCTGAGAAATGGTCGAACCTGCAGACAAGACATCTGATCCCCCTTAGCCACAGTCTCCGCCCCTGACCACCCCTTAAACTTGCGCTGGTTTTCTTCTCTGCTTCCTCTTGCCCTCGAAGGTTTGGAGTCTGCAAGCTCTCTCATAGAGCCTGGCCTCGTTGGCCAGAATGGATTTAAAAGT